CCACACCCTCATTTTTCACGCGGGGCGGGTCCATTGCAGAAAGGGTCTGAGCCACCCCTGAATAGCCTCAGAACAGCCCAACGTACCGTCCCTTCCCCTTGGCCACCCCAAGCACCTGCTTGCTGGGCTGGTGCCTGGAGCCGGCCCTGAGAATATTAGCTTTCTCATACAGATATTAGAGATATTACTAAAAGATTATTAAGGGTGTTTATTACTTGAAAAAAGAAAGGTAAACATTGAGAAATCAGTAACCATGAAAACCTTAAAGATAGACATATCAGACATTGAGTTAGTATATAAAACAGGAATATAACTTCTTGGTTTATAAATGAGCCATCACACATGAAAAGGGGGACAGGTGATTTAGAGAGAGAGAAATTTAGATTTCCACAAACACACACAGAGGTCTGAAAACTAGGGATACTTAAAAGGCTATGTTATGGAATAATTAAATAAAATAGTATTGCTCTTTCTGCAAGGTTTTGGTTAGCAAAGTCTCAGCACACACACACACACACACACACACACACACATACAAACACACAAAATGCCAGTGCAAAATGTTCAAAAATTAACAGAAAAATCCATTATAAAATAAAAGAGTCACACACACATAAATCATGAATATTATTTGAAAAAATGTATTCCTTTTTAAAATATATAAACTGCATCAATCTATCCATCGTTAGCATGTGAAGTTACATCAGAAAGCATTTGGAATTCATTTTATGGAACATTGTATTCGTTTTTGCAGTTACTTATGTCATGCATTTCTTTTTCACTCTTTCCAAAGGAGCAAGTTGATCCAGTGTGGTACTTCTGAAATAGCTATTTGTAAATTCCTCTAAGAACTTTACAAGTTTATAAATTCTTTAAATACAAGGACTTTAGTATTTTTCTTAAACCTTAGAGGGCCAAAAGTTACAATAGGGCCACTTAAATTGATAGGACATTTTATCTTCTGCAGCAGTTAGGGAAACACAAGGCATTTTACAGCAACTCTTATTGTGACGTTGAACTATAATTTAGGCAGTTTTCACAGGAAAAGTAATTTGATCTTTGGGACCCCTTTGTGATTATGTGTAACCCATGTGCCTAATAGGGAAATATCTCTTTAAGAGAACCATTGGGGGAGGTAAGAGTGAGTTGTGTCTGGGCCATTGTTGCTAGACAGATTTAGCACTCCACATCCAGAAGCTTCTGGAATTGGGTGTGGTAGTTTTGGTTCCCTGTTGCTGGGGTCAGATGAGTCCTGGTCTACACTAGGGGTCGGGGGGGGGGAAATCGATCTAAGATACGCAACTTCAGCTACAAGAATAGCGTAGCTGAAGTCGACGTATCTTAGATAGACTTAGAATCACTTACTTCATGTCCTCGCAGCACGGGATCGACGGCCGCCACTCCCCCATCGACTCCACTTCTGCCTCTTGCTGTGGTGGAGTTCCAGAGTCGACGGCAGAGCGATCAGGGATCGATTTATCGCATCTATACTAGATACAATAAATCGATCCCCGATAGATTGATCACTACTCGCCGGCAGGTAGTGTAGACGTACCCTGAAGCATTTTGCAGGAGGTTAGTGATATTGTTAACCCTCTAACAGGGAAGCATGGACAATGCTAATTATAGCAAGGGGAAATTGGAAGGGAAAAATAACTTGTATTTTAATTGTATGCTTTGAATGTTGTTTTGATTTTAGCCAAACTGTTCTAGTTAAATTGTCTCAAGTAGTCTGATTCACCAACTTTTCTTTAAATGTAGTAATGGGGAAAGTTTTGTATTTTCTTGAAACAGGGTGTTGTTTAAATCTGTACACTTAACTGAGTGATTGGTTAATGAGTTAGCTGACTGGCTAACAGTGATTTCAGCAGAGGAAGAGTCTGCATGGATTCCAACTGAAGATTCCTACAAGCAAGTGGAGGGAAGATGTAGTTTTAGACTCAACAGACTGCATAGATTTGGTGATCAAAGACTCTAACTGAGTCTTAGATGAGCATGTATAACTGTGAAAGTAATGTCTGTGGATTATAAAATAGCCATGGCATGCTTAAAAATTAGATTTTTGTTTGTTTCTTTATCATACTGTTATTTAATTAAATTATTTATTTAGTTCCTTTTGGGACTTGAATATGGGGAGGTTGACCCTGTGCAATCCTTGCTGAAAATCCTTGGAGACTGATCTCTGGGTCTCCAGCTACTTTCTATGGGATGGGTTTTTTTTTTTAAACCACTGGAGATAGGAAATGAAGTGAACTCTAGCCCACCCAAAGGTTACATATGCAGAGCTCAAAATTAGCTTACTGAGGTCTTCAACATACAATATGTAATAATATAGCTGCCACATGGAAGCAATGGCTCTTCAGGCTCTACCTCTCTTTTACAGATCTATCTGTCTTAGGCTACATCTACACTATAAGCTAGGGGTGTGATTCCTCTGCTTGTGTACACATACTCATTCTAGCTCTCATAAAGCTAGTGTGTGTATAAATAGCAGTGTAGCTACGGTAGCACTGGTGGTGGTACTGGAGGTACGTCTGAGCCATGCCAAGTGAAACTTGCCTGAAACCCATTGGTATATACTTGGCACAGCTCAGATGTGCATCTACTGCCACTTCCCACGCTACCCTGGCTGCACTGCTATTTATACTCAAACTAGCTAAATGAGAGCTAGCATGAGTATG